GGTGGGCGTGGCATGGCTTGGTGGGCATGGTTGGGGTAAGATACTCTAAAATCTCCATTCCCTCCCCACTCCAGGGGAAGGTTACTGCAAAATCCCCATTTTCTCCCAATCAGCCAGAACTCAGTAGGCAGAGAATATATGGGGCAGGGGAAGTCAGAGGTAGTATTTACTGGTTCACTGAACTACTCAGAATTTCCGCTACCGGTTCTCCAAAACTGGTCAGAACCTGCTGAATACCACCTCTGCTCTGTATGAGATCCAATTCTGATGGGAATGAAGGAAAAGACATTGATCTTTCACTTTGAAAATGTTTTGATGATCAATGATTCCCTTTTGTAAATCAAAGATAAAATATATCTAGATTTTCTTAAGAAAAGGTGTTGCACAGAAATAGATTGATCTAATCAGCAATGAATTCGCAATGGTCTGAATACTTGTAGTAAAGAACTGCCTAGCTACTTAAACTATTATGTGACTTTCAGCCTTTCTTCTCTTATCATTAGTGTGCTTGCTTCCTCACTCAGCCATAATACCCTGGTGACAAAAGAAACTATAACTGACCCACTTCCCTTTCTTTGCAATTTCTATACATCTAATCCACTGAGAACCTATAATGCCAGCAGATCCCTTGCAACCACAGGCTTAAGCCATCAAAGCTCCCTTGTCTATTTCCTTCCTGCCAATAACACACAATCATTTCTCTTAAATGTTGTTTTGTGTTTTACCACTTTCTCCCCCATAATTCCCCACTTGGGTACTGCTTCCAAAATGCCCATTTTTAAAATCAGGTCTCTGCTTCCCAGGCCACTTCTCACTTTATTCCTTTCGCTTCATCAGCTCTTAACTTATGTATGCAGCATTCCTTTTCTATTCAGTTTCTCAACACTAGGAAATGCATTTTATGGATAATATCTTGTTTATATCTTCTATCAATTTATCACAAATCTGTTCATCAGGTTTTCTTTTTGATTCCCCTTAATCCACTGCTTATTTTTAGCCATCATGGCTCTAGCTCTTGTTTTCCTGCAGGGCTATTTCCTAACACTAAGTCCTCAGGGAGCCTTAATTCCTGAAAGAAATTTCTTCCCATTCCATCACAGAAGAAGCTGACAATATTTGATCACGTGGGTTCTGTTTCATTCATTGCTGTCGCTGAACCAGTCAGTATTATTTTAATTCCTTCCAATACTAGGCTTTAATGGCCCAATTTTTCTCCGTTTGGCTATTCTAAGATAAATTAGATAGTCTCATTATCGCTCAGTTACATGGAGGAGTAGGTTGCTGGGGGTTCTCAGGTTTGGGAGAACCTCTAGCTAAGATTCTGTGCAATTCAGGGAATCCCCCCAAATCCCACTCCTGGCTGGCCCCGCCCACCCTACCCCTTTCAGGAGTCCCCATGCAGCCTGTTTTGGATGCAGGTAAGTGCAGGGCACGCACAGAGGTTCGGGAAGGCAAAAAATGGGCCTACCGGAAGTTTGGGAAGAGCCTTCGGATCATGGGAGGCCATTTTCACTCTCATGAAGGCTCGGAGCCCATGGAGGGCAAAAACTCCCGACCCCCTGCCATGATGCAGGAGGCCAGCTAGGCCACGCCCACCACAGCCACGCCCATCCAGCAACTGGATGGGCAGAGAACCTCTTGCTAAAAGTTTTGAAGCCCACCCCTGGTTACATGATTTTGGAAGTTTCAGGAAATATCTTGCATATAATTAAAATTAAAAGAAAATAGCAATAGCAGTTAGACTTATATACCGCTTCATAGAACTTTCAGCCCTCTCTAAGCGGTTTACAGAGTCAGCAAATTGCCC